TATTATATTAAAAAGTTTTCTAGAACCTTATATTTTGCCTTTTAATTTTGCTTTTTAATTTTAAAGCTATTACGGTTTTCTGGAATCCGGCCTTTGCCACGGCGCCAGCAGGCCCCCGGCGCGTGTCTCTGCTGTATACACTCTAACCAAATTTTATAAAATAATATTTTTCGCGTTTGTGCATTATTTTCTTTTCCTTTTTGTGTGGTTTTGGGTGCATTCCGGCGCTAAGTGTCTCAAAACGTGGCCTCGAATCCGGTCGTGTTATAGCACAAACCGGCCAACAAAAAACGCATATCGCTTTACGGTTTTATTTTCTTCTTTCAGGGTAAGGTAGTGATTCGACCGATCGCTTTTAAACCTGCAGCCATGACACCTGCGGCAAGATTCGGTTTAGCAGGAGAACGATACGGATCAACGCCTATCCTCACAAGACCTGGTTCACGCCTGACTCTCTATGGAAGTGAGTTCTGGGGGCTATTGTACTCGAATACTTAACAAATTTGTCTTTTTTTTGTAGGCAGCAATGATTTGCGACAACCCACCGCCAGTTCCAACTACTCCCTTGACCGAAAATTGCGCTCTTCGTGTCCTTCGGCCTCCTCCTCGCCGCCGCTTGCCATGAGCTCGCTGACGTCGCTTCCGCATAAGCTTGTTAATTATGATAGCTTGGAAAGTGTGAGGAAATCACCCGTTTCCACAGCTGATGGCTCGATGATGTAAGTATGTATTTCGAGCGGAAAAGCATGACCATGAAGCGAATTTTCGACTATTAACACTTTTTTTATACATGATGGAATTTTCTTGTACTGTGGAAGTCTTTGTTTTTCCAAGGCTTCTAAATGACACACACTAATCGGGCCTTGAACCTTTTTCACACTTACGATTTATTCAAAAAAATTGTTTTGGGGAAACGGAACTAAAAAAATGGAATTAATGAAAGTGTGCAATTTTTCAATTGCTTTGGTTCTGTTTCAATTTTAAATCACCAAGTTCTTGTTGATTCTAGGTTTAAGGTTGAATTATGTTAAAAAAATACAATCGAAAACTTTCACTTGAGTTGGAATAATTATTATTATACAGGGTGATTCACGAGGAATAATGAGCCTGACCAAATTCTCGATGCAACCAACATTACAGTTGTTGCAAAATAACTTGCAAAAAGTATTGGTGGTTGCATCGAGAATTTGGTCAGGCTCATTATTCCTCGTGAATCARCTTGTATATTTGTTGATTTACTAATTTACGTGAAAAAGTTGAAAAAAAACACAAAAAAATTGTAAGATAACAAAAAATTCATGAAAATTGTAAATTCACAATTTGCAATGTTAAGTAACTTTTCTTTTTTTGAAAAAAAAAAGATAG